GGGGGGGGCAGAGGGAGCTTCGGTGCTTTGAGTGTAAGAGATTGGGGCACTTCAAGAAAGAATGCCCAGAGCTGAAGGGAAGAGGGGCCCATGAGAGGGTCTTGTGACTAGGGAAAAGGATCTCCCTGGCACCCTCTGACCCCATTGTGCCACTGAAATTTGGGAGGAGGACTGTTGACTTCCTCCTGGACTGTGGGGCCACTCACTCAGTGCTCACAGAAGGGTTCAGAGGGACAGAATTGGGGAGCAGGAAGACTCAGGTAGTCAGGGTCTCAGAGAAAGAGGCAGAGCGTTCCTTCATGAAGCCCATGGAATGTGAGGTGGGGGGGGGGAGGACCTTGTCTCATGAGTTCCTGTACATGCCTGAATGTCCTGTTCCCCTTCTGGGCAGGGATATCCTTTGCAAGATCAGGGCCCAAGTTGCCTTTGGGCCAGAGAAAATCATCCTAGCTGTGCCTGAGGAGGAGGGGTGGAGAGCTCAGGCCTTTCTTCTCCATCAGCCTAGTCCAGAGGCTGACCTGATTCCCTTAGCCATCCTACAGCAGGTGGATCCCATAGTTTGGGCAGATGGGGTCCCAGGGAGGGCAAAGAACATTGCACCTGTCTCTATCACCCTCAAGCCAGACATCACTCCCCCCAGGATCCCCCAGTACAGGATTTCCATGGAGGCCAGGAAGGGCCTCCAGCCCATCATTGACAATTTCTTGGAACACTCTCTGCTGAGAGAGTGTGCCTCTCCATACAACACTCCCGTCCTTCCTGTTCGTAAAGCGAACAGTTCGGAATTTCGCTTTGTCCAGGACCTCAGAGCCATCAACGCTGTGGTGGTGGATCTACACCCTGTGGTGCCTAACCCTTACACTTTGCTTTCCACTATCCCTCCTTCTTGCTCTTGTTTCACTGTTTTGGACTTAAAAGATGCGTTTTTCTCAATTCCTCTCCATAAGGATAGCCAGGAGATCTTTGCATTCGAGTGGGAGCATGTGGGCACTGCCAGGCGGGTACAGCTTTGCTGGCAAGTTTTGCCTCAAGGCTTTACTTCTTCACCAACCATCTTCAGCCAGAGCCTCCAGCCTCGCTGGAGAAATGGCCAGATCGCAACCAGGGGGTCCTGCTGCAGTATATTGACGACCTACTTCTTTGTTGTGAAGATCCAAACACCTGTGAACGCCTCACCATCAGCCTCCTCAACTTCCTGGGGGAAGCTGGCTTCAAGGTATCAAAGAAGAAGGCCCAGATCTGTAAGGACACTGTAAGGTACCTGGGGTTTGATGTCAGCCAAGGGCAGAGAGCATTGGGGCCAGAAAGGAAGGAGGCCGTCTGCAAGGTCAGGGAGCCCAGGATGAAGAAACAGCTCAGGGGCTTTTTGGGGATGGCTTCCTTTTGTCGGATTTGGCTTCCAAACTTTGGGCTAATTGCCAAGCCCCTGTATGAGGCAACATCAGGGCCAGAGACGTTCCTTGTTTGGTCTGCTGAATGCAGAACAGCCTTCGAGGCCATTAAGAAAGCACTCATATCAGCCCCTGCCTTGGGACTTCCTGACATGACCAAGCCTTTCTTCCTCTATGTCCATGAACGCAAGGGGGTGGCAGCGGGGGTGCTTGCTCAGCCATTGGGCAGCACCAAGAGGCCAGTTGCATACTTCTCCAAACACCTGGACAACACCAGCCTTGGGTGGCCTGCCTGCCTGAGAGCTGTGGCTGCAACTGCCTTGGTAGCTGAAGAAGCCAGGAAGTTGACGTTGGGCCAGCCGACGACTGTCTACGTTCCCCATAGCGTCTTGGCGGTCCTGGATGCCAAGGGGACCAACTGGCTGTCCGCCGGCCGGCTCACGCGCTACCAGGCTCTACTCATCGACCAGGGAGACCTCACCCTAGCCACCACCAACTGCCTACGGCCATACCACCCTGATGCCCATCGACCTTGCTGAAGGAGACGACCAGGAGCCCCATGACTGCATTGCCACCATAGAAGAAGTCTACTCCAGCCGCCCCGACCTCAAAGACCAGCCCCTTCCTGATGCTGAGCTTGAGTTCTTCACCGACGGCAGTAGCAGCTGTCATCAGGGAGAGAGGAGAGCCGGATATGCAGTGGTCACTTTGTGGGACACCATTGAAGCTGAACCGCTTCCTCCTGGCACCTCTGCCCAGAAGGCAGAGCTCATCGCCCTCGCCTGGTATTTGTGGACTGCTACAGTGGCTGGCCTGAGGCCTTCCCTTGCTACACCTGCGCCACCAAGGAGGTGAGCCATGCCCTGCTCAACCACATCATTCCCCGTTTCGGACTTCCCATCTGTCTCTCTTCGGACAACGGAGCATCTTTTGTCTCCAAGATCACCCAGCAGGTCGCCCAGGCCCTCCAGATCCAATGGAACCTGCATACCAGCTGGCACCCTGAAGCAAGCGGGAAGGTCGAGCGGATGAACCAGACCATCAAGAGACAGTTAGCCAAGATTTGTCAGCAGGCGAGCCTGCCCTGGCCAGATGCCCTCCCGCTTGCTCTCACTCGAATCAGGGCTGCTCCTAGGGGGGGGTTGAAGCTGAGCCCTTTTGAGATTCTCTATGGTAGGCCTTTCCCTTCCTCACAGGTTCCTCTGAAAGCTGAACACCTGCATGAGGTGGGATCCGAGAGTATTAGGGAAAGGCTGTCTCTTCTCACTTCTATCCTCTCCTCTCTGAATAGGTACCTGCTCTCCCACCTTCCTGTCCCCTTGGATGCTCCTGTCCACAACTTCTCCATTGGTGATTGGGTCCTTGTGCGGACGTACCGGCCGGAGGCATTGTCGGAGAAGTGGGTCGGGCCTCACCAAATCCTCCTCACCACCCACACTGCTGCCAAGGTAGCGGGTATCCGAGCCTGGGTCCACCATTCCCGGCTGAAACTCGCCCCAGAGCCAGAAGTGGGGACTGCTGAGGAGAAGGAGGACAGCGAGGAGTGGGCTGTCGAGCCGGGGGAGGATCTGCGGCTTCTATTCCGGAGGTTGCTGCCGAAAGACCCTCCAGCTCCTGAGCCCACCAATCCGCCCCCTTCCGGCACCTCCAGGAAGAAGAAACATCGTGCCCGCGGCCGAAGAGGTGCCCCCGGAGATCCTCACCAAGTTTCGTGCCCGTAGCACCACGGGAAGCCACTTTTTCACCCACTTCCGGGTTTTGACAGCTCCCTGACAGCTGTCAAAACAGCCCATCAGCTGATTCTG